CTGGAGCTCTGGTGGAGGAACAAGCCAAAACTTTTCATGAAGAACTAAGACTAGATTATGAATGTGATTATAGTGAAGGTTGGCTACAGCATTTCAAGGATCAACATGGCTTAAAGTTTCATGCAGTGTGTGGTGAAAAACGTTCAGCAGACACAGAAGCAGCTGCTAAATTTGCTGACGAGTTCGCCAATTTAGTTTCGGATGAAAAATTAAGTCCTGAGCAGGTCTACAATGCAGCCGAGACAGTATTGTACTGGAAATGTACACAGAGAAGAACTCTGACAACTGAGGATGTGGAATCACCAAGAGGATATAAAGCATCGAAAGATCATGTCATTGTGCTGGGATGCTCTAATACCACAGGAACACACAGATGTAAGTTACTGGTTATCGGTAAAAGTTTGTGTCCCAGGGCTTTCATAGGTATGACACAGTTTCCTGTGTTTTACCGTGCCAACAAAAAAGGATGGATAACAACTGAAATTACATTGAATTGATTTGAAAATTATTTTGTTCCAGAAGCAAGAACTCACTGTGACTCTGTTGGTCTGAAAATAACAAAAAAAGGCACAATACTGTGACTGGTATGTGCAGGTTATTTGTGTATCTGTTGGTCTGGACCATAACTGTAAGATAATGCTTATTTTAGACAGCTGTTCTGCACATCCGAAAGCAGAACTCCTGGAAAAGAACAGTGTTTTCGGTATCTACTTCCCACTTTACTGCACATCATTAATTCAACCCCAGGACAATGGCATACTACGTTCTTCTAAGTATCGCACCCATTTTATGAGGCGCCTACTGAGTGCAGTTAACTCTAGCAGACCAGTATGTGAGTTTCTTAAGGAATTTAATGAGAGATATGGTATACTGTGTTGCCAATGCTTGGAAGTCTGTGGAGGCATCCACACTGAAAAATTGATGGCATAAATTGTGGCCAGGGTTAATGTTTGAGACTGCACCTGGGGAAGACATTGAAAATGACTTGACAGAATTTAGGCCTTCAAAGGAAAAACAGATTATACATGATCTGCTTTGTTTTGCTAGTGATCTGACTAATCCTACTGTGAAGGATTTTGCATCGAGGATGGATGAAGGTAATGTTGGGGAATGGATGAATGTGGATGAAGATTGAACTACTGTACATCATTATACTGATACAGAAATTGTGCAGATGGTTGTAAATCCACAGCAGCAAGCCAGTGGAGGAGAAAGCAGTGATGAAAATGAGGAAGATGTAGCAGACAAAATCTCTATTGATAGGTTAATTCAGTTGACAGTTGAACTGCTAAAAGGTCTAGAGCAACACAATTATGTAAGTGAACAAGAAATAATGAACATTTATATTCTGCAGGATAAACTGATCAATGAAAGGCCAAAATATATGAAACAGCTCAGCTTGTAAGATATGTTAGAAAAATAGCTAAAAAGAATGCAACAGAGGAGTCACCACTTGAAAATTTATTGTCTTCAACATGTGCTCAGCCTGATGTTCTGCCACTGTCATCATCAGTTCCTGATATCTCAGTCACCTTCCAAGATGAAGAAGATGGCAGTCCTGACAGCCCTTCACTTCAGTGGTTAGTGGTCACAAGCGGTCATACGGTCCTGAGTTGCTTTGGGGATTAGTATGGAGGGTTACAAAGCCATGGCTTGCTTCTGTAGTGTTTTAAAATCAGAGTTAGAGTGCTGAAGGAGGAGGTCCTACTTCTTCAGGAGGAAATTAGGAGGTTGAAGGTTCACCTTGATGAGTTTGGGAGTGAGTGTGAGGTGGCTGGAGTGGATGAGGGAAATGAGGCTACCTGCACTGAGGAGCAGTCCAACACCTGCTACAAGTGGTGAGTAGTTCCCAGTAATAAGAGGAGCATCAAAATAAGGAAAGTTAAGAGAGAAGATTTGAAGGCAGGAAATCACTGATCTGTTCTTCAGGATGAGTGTACGTCAGTGGTCAGTGAAGGTAAAGGTACTACCTCCCTTGCTAATAGAGGTAAGTGCATTCTTGTAGTTGGTGACTCACAGGTAAGATATATGGACCATGCTTTCTGTAATAGGGATGAGAAGGTGAGACAGAGAGTGTGTTTCCCTGGAGCTGGTGTTGGTGACAGTCAACAGGTTGCAAAATATCATGTCAGGTAATGGGAACAAGCCCATTATCTGTCTCAGTACTGGTGGAAATGATATCGGGAAGGGTAGGAGAGAAGAGCTGCTGGATAAGTACAGGTCAGTTGTAGATTTAATTTGGTCTAAGGGAGGAGTCCCAATTATATGTAGCATCTTGCCTAGAAGGGGAGCCACAAACTTTGCATTTGACCCCGTGAGTAGTCCTTTGATGTAAGGTATAGAATTTGCATAGACTGGATTTTTGTTTGCCAGGATTTTTTGTGGCTGGTGCATTTTTTTTTTTGTTTTCCCACTGCCTACAGCCCCTGTATGGACATCAGTGCTTCCACTGTTTTTTACTGGTAATGTGTCAACACTATTCCCGGAGGCATCATCCCCATTTGTTCCATCTCTAGCAGTATTGCTACTTTGTTCCTCTGGAAATTGTATAACAATGTCTTTACCTGTTTCATCACCAGGGCCACTATCTCCATTTGGTGCACTGTCCTCAAGAATAACACCATCCTCATCTGGTGCACTATCCTCTAGGACAACACCAGCCCCATCTGGTGCACTGTCCTCCAGGGCAACTCCAGCGCCCTCTGGTGGACTACCCTCTGAGACAGCCCCATCCGACTCACCCATTTTATTTTCCCAGTTGTTATACAAGGCTGTCATGTTTTCTAAGAAGGAAATTTTATTGTTCTTGTCTTTTAATATGGATGTAATTTTCTCCCACAGGTGTATCTATCTTGGGCAGACCCAAAGACATTTTCCTGATTTTATATCAATAGTGGTTGCTGGTTTTAAGCAACCACTGTTGGACCATTTACCACAGAGATTGCATGCAGTCCAAGCATGACTTTGTCTGTTGCTCTTTCTACAGACTACACAGATTTTTATGATGGTCATTTACAACTCCTGGCACACTTGGCAACTCTCCTAGCTAGCTAGTTGAAAGGTCCACTAAAAGTATTTAGTTATCGGTGTTTGAACAGCTCTTCTGGGTAGGCTGGTTAGGATAAGCTTACTATAAGAAAAAGTGTTTTGTTTTATATGTTTGTATAAATTCTTAAACAGTTCTCCTGTTGAGTAGGGTAGAGGTCCACTATAGAAGTATTTTGTTTTATATGCTTGTATATTTACTGTAGCTGGATATATATAATTTTTGTAATTATTTATAGTTTCATTATCCTATAACAAACTTTCCTCCTGGTACACTTACACAGTTCTCCTAGGCTGGCTAGGTAAAAGTCTACTATAAAAGTATTTTGTTTTATATCTTGGTATATACATTGCAATTTGATATATATAATTTTTATGGATTATAGTTTCAGTATCCCATACAACAACCTGAACAGTTCTCCTGGTAGGCTGGCTAGGGTAAAGCTCTGTTATAAAATATTTTGTTTTATATGTTTTATATAGTGGATGAGTTTGAGAATGTGTGTAAAGGTAGAAAGTTGAAAGTGAACATAGAAAAGAGTAAGGTGATGAGGGTATCAAATGATTTAGATAAAGAAAAATTGGATATCAAATTGGGGAGGAGGAGTATGGAAGAAGTGAATGTTTTCAGATACTTGGGAGTTGACGTGTCGGCGGATGGATTTATGAAGGATGAGGTTAATCATAGAATTGATGAGGGAAAAAAGGTGAGTGGTGCGTTGAGGTATATGTGGAGTCAAAAAACGTTATCTATGGAGGCAAAGAAGGGAATGTATGAAAGTATAGTAGTACCAACACTCTTATATGGATGTGAAGCTTGGGTGGTAAATGCAGCAGCGAGGAGACGGTTGGAGGCAGTGGAGATGTCCTGTCTAAGGGCAATGTGTGGTGTAAATATTATGCAGAAAATTCGGAGTGTGGAAATTAGGAGAACGTGTGGAGTTAATAAAAGCATTAGTCAGAGGGCAGAAGAGGGGTTGTTGAGGTGGTTTGGTCATTTAGAGAGAATGGATCAAAGTAGAATGACATGGAAAGCATATAAATCTATAGGAGAAGGAAAGAGGGGTAGGGGTCGTCCTCGAAAGGGTTGAAAAGAGGGGGTAAAGGAGGTTTTGTGGGTGAGGGGCTTGGACTTCCAGCAAGCGTGCATGAGCGTGTTAGATAGGAGTGAATGGAGACGAATGATACTTGGGACCTGACGATCTGTTGGAGTGTGAGCAGGGTAATATTTAGTGAAGGGATTCAGGGAACCGGTTATTTTCATATAGTCGGACTTGAGTCCTGGAAATGGGAAGTACAATGCCTGCACTTTAAAGGAGGGGTTTGGGATATTGGCAGTTTGGAGGGATATGTTGTGTATCTTTATACGTATATGCTTCTAAACTGTTGTATTCTGAGCACCTCTGCAAAAGCAGTGATAATGTGTGAATGTGGTGAAAGTGTTGAATGATGATAAATTATTTTCTTTTTGGGGATTTTCTTTCTTTTTTGGGTCACCCTGCCTCGGTGGGAGACGACCGACTTGTTGAAAAGAAAAAAAATATATATACTGTAGTTTGATATATATACTTCTATAGATTATAAGGATATTATTAATATTATTATTTGACTTGTGTGTTTAGTGAACTGGTAACTGCTGGCAGCTTCCACTCCATGTTGAAGTAAACTGGTGACCTCTAGAATGCTTTTTTTTACAGCCGACTATATTGGATACAGTTTAAAGGGTTAATTATAACAATTGTATTTTTTTTTTTTACCATTTAGAGACCTATAAAAATTTAAGGTGGCTTTTTTTGGGATCTAATGAATGTAACCCTGTTTTCTCTGTATGTTCTTCAGTTTGGTTTATAAGATTTTTTATTACATGCTGTTTTCAGGAACATAACTACCATGTTATCTGATGGTGATCAACTGTCATTGGATTCTTATTATTTGTATACTTGTGTTTACCACAGGCTGGGGCCGTGGACTGCGACGTGCTGTTAATCAGTGGTACCTGAGTTGGGAGCCCAAACGTCTTGCCCTTGAAGTCACTCGTCACTTCAGTGCTTATGGATGGACCCATCGAGATGTCATCAGACTAGCACATCTGAAACTCAAAGAAATGCCATTAGGTAAGGTGAATCATGGCTGAATATATAATAATCATGCTAGGTAATTACTGGCCACCTGCTCCCCCCAATCAGTCCATTATAAACAGTACAGCCCCACTTATACAGTGGGTTAGGTTTCAGGCTACCACTGTAAAGCAGAAATCCCCCTAAAGTGAATCACACTTTTTTCATTTATAAATGCATATACAGTGGACCCTCGACCAACGATATTAATCTGTTCCAGACAGCTTGTCATTAGTCGAATTTATCGTTAGTCGAATTAATTTTCCCCATAAGAAATAATGGAAATCCAATTAATCCGTTCCAGACACCCAAAAGTATGATTTTTTTTTTTTTCACATGAAATATACATTTTCCTACACAGAAAAAGAAGGATACATACACAGTAAATAATGTACTGTACTTAATGAAGAATAACTGACACTTTCCTTTATTGAAGATGTAGTGATGAGTGATGAGATGGGAGGAGGGGAGATGAAGGTATATTAATTTTTAGAAGGGGAATCCCCCTTCTGTAAGGACTTTAGGTAGCAAGTCTTTTTCTGGGGTTACTTCCCTTCTTTGTTTTTTAATGCCACTGGGAACAACTTGAGTCACTGGACCTCTGTTGCACCATAAATCTGTCCATAAGGTTCTGTACCTCCCCAAGTCCTCTTTAAAAAGTATTTTCCCACAACTTGAAATTTAGTGTGTCAGGGTGAATTTCCTCCATAAAGGTTTGCACCTTTGTCAACATTGTACAAATTTCCTTAATCATTGAAGAAGGCAGATTCCTCAATTTCTCTCTCCCCTCCTCTTAAGCAATATCCTCAGTTGTGGCCTCTTGCTGTTGCAGATGCTCTTGCAGCTCATCAGTGGTTAGTTCTTCGTCGTCCTCTGCCAACATCTTCCCCACTAACCTCCAATCCCATGGACTTCCCCAAGCCAACAATAGACCCAAACAACGGGAAATAGGCTCCTCAGGGTTAGCCCCAAAACCTTCAAAACCCCTCTCTTGTATACATTCTGGCCACAATTTCCTCCAAGCAGAGTTCAAGGTCCTGTTAGCCACTCCCTCCCAAGCCTTACCTATAAGGTTTATGCAATTGAGGATACTAAAGTGATCTTTCCAAAACTCTCTTAGGATCAGTCGAGTGTCTGAGGTCACTTCAAAGCACTTTTGAAGCATTGCTTTGGTGTACAGCTTTTTGAAATTTGAAATAACCTGCTGGTCCATGGGCTAGAGGAGTGGTATTAGGAGGCAAAAGCTTCACTTTTATGAAGCTCAACTCCGCCGAAATTTGCTCTGGCAAGTCTGAAGGATGACCAGGAACATTGTCTAATACCAGGAGGCACTTAAGGTACAATTTATTTTCCAGGAGGTAATTTTTCACAGTGGGGCCAAACACATGGTGAAACCAGTCATAGAAAATGTCCCTAGTGACCCATGCCTTAATTTTTGCCCTCCACATCACACACAAATTAGCCTTGACGACATTGTTTTTCTTGAACACTGGGAGTTTCAGAGTGATACACGAGTAGAGGCTTCACTCTACAATCCCCACTAGCACTATTACACGGCATTAAGGTTAGCCTGTCTTTCATAGGCTTGTGTCGTGGCAGTGCTTTTTTCCTCCTGTGTAATGTAGGTACTGTTCAGCATTTGCTTCCAAAACAGGCCTGTTTCATCACAATTAAACACTTGTTGGGGTTGCAATCCTTCAGCCTCTATGTACCCCTGGAATTCCTGCACATATTTTGCAGCCGCTCTTTTGTCCGAACTGGCAGCCTCACCATGCCTTTTCACACTGTGTATGCCACTACGATTCTTAAATCTCTCAAGCCAACTTTTGCTGGCCTTAAATTCACTCACATCACCACTAGTTGCAGGAATTTTTTTTAATTAAATCGTCATGCAACTGCCTTGCCTTTTCACATATTATTGACTGAGAGATACTATCTCCTGATATCTGTTTTTCATTTATCCACAACAACAACAGTCTCTCAACATCTTTGAGTACTTGTGATCTGTGTTTCGAAAACATACTTGCACCTTTCACAACAACAGCTTCCTTGATTGCCTTTCTGTTGGCCAAGATAGTAGCGATGATTGATTGGGGTTTGTTATACAACCTGGCCAGCTCAGAGACACGCACCCCACTTTCTTACTTATTAATTATCTCCTTCTTCATTTCAATTGTAATTGTCACCCTTTTTACCACAGGGTTGGCAACTAGAAGCTTTCTTGGGCCTCTTGGTGGCTTATTTAGCAATTACAAGCACCTAAAACACTGGAATAATACAAAATGTATCGAATGTATGCGTGGACGCGACCTCACTGGCTTGTAAACACTGGCACATTAACTGAAGGCATGGCATCTAAGGCATGCTCAGGCCAGACGGGACATGTGGATGCGTTTGGGACTACTCATGTTGGTCGAGTTTTTCATCGTTGGTCAGGCGAAATTTTTTACACTCAAACGCGTCGTTAGTCGTTAGACGGTGCCTTTGTTGGTCGGGGGTCCACTGTAAATGCTTCATAACAAGTTTACACTGTCATATATTAAGTTAAAAACAATAAAAAAGTAAAATATACATACAGTACACTCACTACTTACCTTAAAATATTTGTAGTCTTAATGTAGGGTGAGAGGTGAGTAGTATTTTATTGTAGGAAGTCAGTTGGTAGGTATAGTAGCTCTCCTGGCTACCACACTTACATGTAATATATGACATTTAAAGCGCCCCAGAGATAAAATACACGTACAGTACACTCATTACTCACCTTAAAATATGTGTAGACTTAATGTAGGGTGAGAGGTGGGTATTTATTGTAGAAAGTCAGGTCTGGTAGCTTGCCCACCATAGAATTGACTGGGAAAAAATAAACCAAGAGTTATCAGACATATCCTGGGAATCAGACAAGAGCGACCTAAATCACCAGCAGTGCCTAGAGAAGCTGAATACAGAAGCATACAAAGTATGTATGAAACATGTACCATTGAGGAAACCCAGAAGAAGATCAGATATAGAGAAAGAGCGTAGGAGATGGTACAGAAGAAGAAAACAAATTACTGGATTGCTTAAAAACACAAATATGCTGCAACAAAGGAAAGATAGGCTTAGCCGAGAGATCGCTGAATTTGAGAGAAAACTCAGGATGTCATACCTAACAGAAGAAGTACACAGGGAACAAAGGGCAATACAGGATATTGCAAGAAACCCAAAATATTTCTATTCCCATGCAAAATCCAAACTAAGAACTACCTGTAGAATTGGACCACTACTGAGAGGAGACTCGTATACTGACGATGAACAGGAAATGAGTGAAATCCTAAAAGAACAGTATGAGTTGGTGTTCAGCAACCCACTAAATGACAGTAAGGTAGAAAATGCAGAAATATTTTTCACCCCAGCTGAAAGCCGCGCAGACCAGCTAATGGACATTAGTACAATTCCCATAGATTTCAAAAAAGAAATGTACAACATGCCCACTCACTCAACACCTGGACCAGATTCATGGAATGCTCTATTTATAAAGAAGTGCAAAGTACCACTAGCACGAGCCCTCAGTATTCTTTGGAGAAAGAGTTTATATCTAGGTGAGATACTGGTGGCCTTAAAGAGTGCAGACATTGCTCCTTTGCATAAGGGAGGTAGCAGAGCACTAGCTAAAAATTACAGACCAGTAGCCCTAACTTCTCACATCAAAAAAATCTTTGAAAGAGTGATGAGACGGCAGATTACAAATTTCATGGACCAGCACAAACTGCATAACCTGAACCAGCATGGTTTTAGAGCAGGACGATCATGCCTGTCACAGCTTCTGAATCATTATGACAGAATTACGGAGGAATTGGAAGAAGACCAAAACGCAGATGTGATTTACACAGATTTTGCAAAGACATTTGAAATGCAATTATGGAGTGATAACTTATAAAATGAGGGTCATGGGCATTATGGGGAAGGTAGGCAGATGAATTTTCAGGTTCCTAACAAACAGAACACAACAAGTAGTAGTGAACATAGTAAGATCCAGCATCAGTGAGGTCAGATGCTTAGTGCCCCAAGGCACTGTCCTGGCACCTCTACTGTTTCTCATCCTTATAGCAAACATAGATCAAAACACCCATCCTCCCTGGCTTGTAAACAATGGCACACTGACTGTATACAGAATCATGGAGTGGCCGGGCCCGCTCAGGCTGTGCGGACATGTTCAGGATGAAAGCCCTTAGCTGAGTTATTTGGCATTAGCTGAGCCAATATTTTTATGCCAAAGCGAGCTGTTAGCCGATTTTGCGTTAGCCAAAGCCGCCGTTACCCCAGGGTTCACTGTATGTCATTCACGTAGTGGTATAGTTGGCGGCGGACGAGAGTTTGTCTGGGGACGGGACAAAATACGCCTTGAATAATTTCACTAATATCAACTCTATGGCTTATTTATCTATCACAGTTCATCTAATATGACATAATAAACAATATAAATACTAATATACAAACCTGACATTTACTCTAGAATGAATAAAATGTCATTTTGGGATAGGTGGATGCGGCCACAACTGCTCCCGCATCTAGTGATGGCCTTTTGAAGCCATCTATTATTAGTATAATTATTATTATTATATAGTACATTATTATTATACATAATATTATACATATTATTATTATAATAATAATAATAATAATAATATGTATAATAATAATAGTATAATAATATAAAATACTATAATAATAATAATATGAATAATAATAATAATACATGTATAATAATATTTTATTTAATAATAAATAAAATATTATTATACATGTATTATTATTATTATTATTATTATTATTATTATTATTATTAGCATTATTATTATTATTATAATACTATAAATAATTTGTAGTTTTTATTCACACAAAAAATAGAGGATTTACTGTTATGCAGACTACTGGATTATTGTAATAATTGTATAAATGATGTCAACCCATTCATGACTGCATATTGGAATGGACAGTGATGTCATTTGTTTACTCTT